ATCAACAGGAATTTGGAAGAAGTTGATTTCCACCTCCATGGATGACTTTGAGGGGTCCAAGACCAGCAGGGGAAGTCACTGCAGATGTGGTGGAAATAGCAAGAGACCTCGAATTAGAAGTGGAGCTTAAAGATGTGATTGAATTGCTGCAATTTCATGATGAAACTTGACTAGATGAGGAGTTGCTTCTACTGGATGAGCAAAGAAAGGGGATTCTTGGGATGGAATCTACTCCTGGTGAAGATGCTGTGAATATTGTTAAAAATGATGACACAGTATTTAGAATATTACATAAATTTAGCTGATAAAACAGTAGGGTTTGAAAGGATTGATTTTAATATTGGAAGAAGTTCTATGAGTATAATGCTATCAAATAGCATCCATACTACAGAGAAATCTTTCATAAAATGTAGTCAGTCATTGTAGTAAACTTTATTGTCTTCTTTTAAGAAATTGCCACAGCCACCCCAGCCTTCAGCAGTCACCAGCCCTGATCAGTCATCAACAAGAAGACATGACCCTCCAACAGCAAAAAGATGATATGCTGAAGCTCAGATGAACTATTTTATTTATTTATTTTTTTAGAGACAGTATTGTTTTGTCGCCCTCGGTAGAGTGCTGTGGCGTCATAGCTCACAGCAACCTCCAACTCCTGGGCTTAGGTGATTCTCAGGCCTTAGCCTCCCAAGTAGCTGGGACTACAGGTGCACACCACAACACCTGGCTATTTTTTTTGTCGCAGTTTGGCCGGGGGTGGGTTTGAACCTGCCATCCTTGGTATATGGGGCTGGTGCCCTGCTCACTGAGGCATAGGTGCCACCTCCAGATGAATTATTTTAATTAAAGATATGCATGTCAGGTGGCGCCTGTGGCTCAAAGGAGTAGAGCGTTGGCCCCATATACCTGAGGTGGTGGGTTCAAACCTGGCCCCAGCCAAAAAAAAAAGAATATGGGTGTTTTAGACATGTTATTGCTCACTTCACAAACTACAGTATAGTGTAAAGATAACTTCCATATATTCACTGGGAAACCAAAACATTCAAGTGACTTGCTTTATTGCAGTACCTGCTTTATTGCAGTGGTCTGGATCTGAGCCTGCAGTATCTCTAAGATGTGCCTATATTTATCATTAAGGGCTTTTAAAAAGCATTTTTTGTCTGTTTCTTTTTAAATTTATTTGTTATTTGTTTTGGCCTCTCTTTTGTAATAGACAGTTTATTGATGTGTAGGGGATCCATGGCTGCTTACTTACATTTGAGTGAGGCATGAAATGTTCATTGTGAACTCCTCGGCATGGGTGGACAGGTGGTGCTTCTGTCTAGGCTGACCAGCCCAGGACCTGGCCATTGGGGTGTGGGGCCCTGAGTTCTCAGGTCTGTTCTGTAGATCATAGACTCCGCCTACTGCTTGGGGCTTACAGGGGCTTTCCATCAGTGTTGGGGCGCTAAGCTGTGGGAGGACACTAGGCTCTCCTTTACACTTTCACTTGGTCTCTACTGCACTGCAGAGCCTCTAGGTTCAGACAGGATCATGCAGAATGGGGGTTGGGAAACTTTTTCTGTAAAGGGTCAGATAGTAAATGTCTTAGGCTTTGGGGGCTGTGTGAGCTCTGTTGCAACTACTCATCTCTGCTGTTGTAGTGTGAAAGCAGCTATGGAAAGTATATAAATTAATGAGTGTGAATGTGTCCTCATAAAATTTTACTTAAGGACACTGGAAATCAATGTTTTTTTTTTTTTTTTCTTTTGTCCTTGGTAAAATGCTGTGGCGTCAAAGCTCACAGCAACCTCCAACTCCTGGGTTTTAAGCAATTCTCCTGCCTCAGCCTCCCAAGTAGCTGGGACTACAGGCGCCCACCACAATGCCCAGCTATTTTGTTGCAGTTTGGTCTAGGCTGGGTTTCAACCTGCCACCCTCAGTATATGGGGCTGGTACCCTGCTCACTGAGCCACAGGCGCTACCCTGGAAATCAAATTTTATAGAATTTTTACATATTTAAAATGTTACTCTTTTGATTTTTCCCTCAAACTACTTAAAAATATAAAAACCACTCTTGGCTACAAGGAGCCCTGGTGTAGAGGCCTAGTGGACAGGAAGGTATGAAGGAAGGCTCAGGTGCCAGGGATCTAACTGCTCTTTCCACGGAACGTGCAGCTTCCTCCGGAGCGAGCTGACCTGCCTCTTGTGAGTGTTCCTTTCTGCAGGACTTGACTTAGTTTTCAGCTCGCCCCACCCTATTCCTAATAAACTCAGTTTAAACTTTGAAATTTGTCTTGTCATTCTCTTTGTGACTTTACATCTTTCTTTCCTTTACTCTCACTCTTACTGTCTCAGGGTTTTAGATAGTAGAGGGTTCATATGTGCAGTCGGGAATGTTCTTGCCTTGATGCTACATTTTTGAAAAGTCACATCTACCTTGATTTTTTATAACCTCGTTTCTTTAGGAGTAAGAAATTTGCTTTCTTCCTTAGCTAAAATAATAAATCATTCTGCTTATCTTCTTTTTTTATAGGAGGGGGAGAAGAATGAAAACAAATTATTTACTTTGTTATATTTATCAGAGTGTAGATTACAAATCTGTGATAATTTCTACTTGCTCATAGGCATTTGTTGTGCCGTGTTTACCATCTATTCCCATTTTTGTATCATTGTTTCTGGTTTACCATATGGTAAATTGTTATTTCTGGTTTTGATTTCTAGAATAATTCTATTAAATGTATTGTTTTCAATGTTAATACCTGTGATGTTGATGTTGAGCACTTCTGATATATGAAAATGAGTTGATTTTATACAATACTTCCCTTAACGCTAATTAAATTTGCCCGTGATGTGCCTCCTTGCTGAAACATTATCTGTGTTTCAGACAGAGTTAGCAAATAGGGAGAGAAATTTTGCAGTAATTCCCTGACACATTTTACACTGTCTTATCCACCATTAACACGCTATCATATTCTAGTGGGCAAAAGGAAAGCTGCTTTAACCCTGGAAGAAAAAAGAAAGGGAAGCAAAGAAAGAAAGTCAGAGAATTAGATAAAATTGTCCAGAGAACCAGGCTGGGTGTGGTGGTTCACATCTGTAATCTTAGCACTCTGCGAGGCTGAGGCAGGAGGATCACTTGAGCTCAGGAGTTCTGAGTTCAGTCTGAGCAGGAGTAAGCCCCTGTCTCTACTAAAAATAGAAAAATTAGCTGGTCATGGTGGTGTACGCCTGTAGTCTTAGGTACTCGGGACTTGAGGCAGGAGGGTCACTTGAACCCAGGAGTCTAAAATTGCTGAGAGCTAGGCTGATGCCAAGGCCCTCTATCCTGGGAACAGAATGTCTGAAAAAAAAGAAAAGAAAAGAAAAGAAAAACAATTGCCCAGAGAACCACAGTTGGAGCCCACATACTCTAAGTTGGTGGAGACTGCCTGGTACAGAAAGGTCCTAGCTGGCCTATGCCTGCAGATCCCCCAAGGAGCTTTCATTTGGGTTTTTTTTTAGGAAGCTCTCCTGAGGTGATTTTTGGGTGGGGAGTTAGTTTTTGGGAACCCTCAGAGGGCTATTGTAGATGATAAACTGAGAGCAGAGATGCTAATTGTGAGGTCAGACTGCTGGGTTGGAGCCTAATGCACTGCCCCAGGCATAGCCTGAATTCTGTAGACCTATATTCTTGCATATACAGGTTAGCCACAAAGTTCATATGCAATTTAAAATAGTGTGTGATTTAAAATTGCACCTGAACTTTATGGACACCCTGTCTGTATATACAGTTCCTGCATGTTCTTCCACATTTACACGAGGTTTGATTGGCTTGGGTTTGCTGCATTTTAAAGGTGTGATTGTTAGATTTTGCCAGCTAATGATTGTTTTACAGGTACAAAAATGCTTCTAAAAGTCGTGGCTCACTGTTTCCTTGCATGGCTTCTGTGGGCACATCTCTGTTTGCCCTGAATGCTGTGACTTGAATTGGATAAATATTTTCTCTTCAGAAGAGTGTTATTATCAAGGACTAGGCCAACATTACATTATGGCTATGGCCAGCACAGATTTTAAATCTGTAATTAATTAGTGAGATTTCTTTCAAATTGCAAAGCCAGTAGAAATGTCAGAACTGGAGAGGACCATGAGCACAGGCACAAGTGATTCGTAAGAATTGTCTGGAAGTATTATGGGGCATTGTGCATCATCTTTTTATTTTAGTAATTGAAACAGTTTGAACTGAGTGTTTGACCTCAGGATTTTTTTCCCTTTTAGAAATATTTTTTTCTTTTGGGATCTTTCAAAAGCAATTTTTTCTTATAAAAGTTATATATTCATACTTCAAAAACTTTCTGCAGTACACAAGAATATAAAGTAAAGCAAGTTCTCTGCCCTCTCATTCAGGAAGAGAGTAAGGGTGCCTTGGTTACTAATCTATAATACACTTCTGTTGGCCCTGGCTTTGGGACCATGCTGTGAAACCTAAGGAATAATGAGAAAACTGTTGACAAGCTGAATCATTGAAAGACTGGGAAGGCAGAAAAAGAGCTGTTGCCTGGGTAGGAACAGGCTGAATAAGAATGAAATATTTTTGTTTGTCCGGAAGAGCCTGAGCTCGCCAGCAGCCTCCACAACCTCTTTGACTCCGTGTAGTTCTAGTGAGCATGGTGGTCTTTTTTCCAAACCCACAAAGCTGAAATCAGCAAAGGAGATGAAATAGAGGAGAGCCGACACTGACCACTGCAGATTTATAGCTTAAAACATATGTAAGAAAAAACAGAGAGAGAAAGAATCAGCACTCCGCAAGGCAGATGTAGATTTGCCAAGCCATAGTCCATACTTCACTTTCTTCTGATGGCAGGTTAAAGAACATGGAAATCAGTGGTTTACTGTAAAGACCCTAAACCATCAATAAGTGTTTATTATAAAACTTCCATTTATGGAAAACACCAATTTGTGATAAGGCTGAATGAGTTTCATTGTATTCGTTATGTTTGTTAGTAATTTTCAGAATCCCAATTAACATTATTTTTGATTTTCAGTTCCACTTACTTATATGATAATTTCAAGAGATGTAATGTTGATTGCTGCTGTTTTTTATGTCAGATATCGAACTCTTCCAACACCGGTGAGTTTGTTTCCAAAAAATATTCTTTTAGCATTACCTGTAACTTAAGGCAAAGGAAAAAAAAAAGTAAAGATTCATTCCATTTTTGTTTATGTTAATTATAGGTAGTATATTATGGGAATAGTTTATGGCAATTATTTTTTCAGCCATTGACCAGGAATTAAAAAGAAATAAGTATCTTGTTGTTTGAATCATCCACTAAGGTGGCTCTTTATACATGAATAGTCCATTTTAAAAAGCTGTGTTTCTGTTTTAAGCCAAAATAAAACCCAGACCACCTGCAACTCCATTCCTAACAGCAAACACTGTTAGGGGGGTTTTGCATAGACCCAAGCCTATTGTTGTCTAATTTAGCCTCTACTGTGGATAATGTAGAATTGGTTTTTAAAATTATAGTTGTATGAGTATGGGATAGTTTGCTGGTGTATTTGTTCATTGGTTCCATAAATATTTGAGCACATAAGCAATAACATAATCTCTTTTGACTCCCAATCTAGGGAAAATAGAGTATAATTTTATTCATTTTGGTTTTTAATCTGTAAAAGAAAATAGTGATAGGGAGTTTTATTGAGTTTGGTAGAAAGATGTAATCAAGCAAACTTCATGATAGCTATTTAGAATTTTATAGTAATGAGAAATCTAGAAATTTTTTTTTTTGGGGGGGGGGGGAACAGAGCCTCAAGCTGTCCCCCTGGGTAGAGTGCTGTGGCGGCATCATATCTCACAACAGCTTTCAACTCCTGGGCTTAAGCGAGTCTCCTGCCTCTACCTCCCAAGTAGCTGGGACCACAGGCGCCTACCACAATGCTTGGCTATTTATTTTGGTTGCAGCTATCGTTGTTTTGGTGGGCCTGGGCTAGATTTGAACCCACCACCTTAGGTGTATGTGGCTGGCGCCTTAGCCGCTTGAGCCGCAGGCACTGAGCCAAGAAATCTAGATATTTTTAAAAATTGATTTTCACTCTATATTAAATGTATGTATGTACTGAAGGTATATGTGATTTATGAAGAATGTAGATAATAGTCATTTAACGTGATAAAGATGCATAAGGCTTATTTAGCATAGGGTCAGGCAGTAAGTACTCGGTAACTATTATCATAACAAAATGTCTTTTATACTTGAACATACATTGAATACTTTATCTTTTTTGGTCCTTTGCCAGAGAACACTTTCTAAGTATTTCAACCCTTGCTATGCAACTGCTAGGTTAAAACCAACATTCATCAGCAAGGTAAGAGATACCTAATGTCATTTTAAGTTATTCCTTTGTGAATTTTTATTATAATGAATATCAACCTCAGTCAAGACTTCTGAAAATGAGACAAATTTAAATGCCTTGCCTGTAAAGGATAGAGGGGCAGTATCTGGCAGACAACTTTAACCCAACTCTTTTGCCCTTGGTTCTTTGAATCCTTGGTATGTGGTGTGCCTTGGGTTAGTGGTCTTGTTAAAACTCTGAATGAGGTAACTGGGCCACTGTTCAGGAAAGGGGAAGGGAATTGAAATGGAATTGCTTCTTGATTGAGATGCAGAGATGATGTAGAGTCACCCATGGTTTCTCTGCCTCCTGCCCAGTGGTGAAAACACCATATATTATGGTCCTTTTCTTTTCAGTTTGACCCTCAGTAGAAGGGGACTAGAGAAAGTTTTATTGACTGGTAAACAATCGCTAGTCTTAGTCTTCCCTGCTGTTTTCCTAACCCTCAGGCCAGTTCTTGTACACAAGAAGGAATGCATAATAAATGCAAACCCGCATTTATTTTTCTAGGAGGCAGGCAAAGCTTAAGTTTACTCAAGTCACTCTTTTATCACATCTTTAAGATAGGGATTTAACAGGTTAGGGACACTGATCAACTTTGGAAAGAGGTGTGATTGCTTTTATACGAAGACTCCCTTCGGTGAAGTTAAACCTACACACATGGATTTCTTTTGGCTTTAAGTGACTTGTATTTATATCAAGTACAGCAGCGTTTTATGTAGCACTGTATAGAAAGTGGCTTAAAGAGGTGCAGGGACAAATACCTCAAGCAAACCCTTGTTCTTGTGAGAAGTCCACCAGACAAAATTTCTGATTTCCTTTTAGAAATTAAGGAGAACCTTTGTCTTTTGGCTGCAGAATGGATGATAAAACAGAGGTGCTTCTCTACACACAACATCCACTGTTTCTTTTTCTTTTTTTTTTTTTTTTTTT